CGCGGGAGGCGTGGGGCCGGGGCGGGGCAGCGGGGCTCTCCCACTGGAGGCGGGGTGGGGGTGTGGGTGGGTGTGGGTGTGGGTGTGGGTGTATGTGTATGTGTATGAGACGCGACGGCGGGTGTGAAGGGAGGGGAGGCGGCCGGGCGAGGCCTCGCTGTGGGGCGTTTGCACAGGCACCCGGGGGCGGCTCTGGGAGCCGCGGGCGCTGAAGGCAGCGGGGGGGCGGTAGCTTGGTGCCTGTCGCTGCCGGGGTACCCACCTCAGACCTGTCGGAGGGCATGAGGGGAAAATGGGGACTCTGCAGTGCCAGAGAGGCTCTGGAGAGCGCTGCTGGGCATGCAACAGCTGTGGCCTCCCTCCTCCTCATATCATGCATCTGGTTTTGTCCATTTTTCTTTCTGGTGGGCCCAGAAAGCAGTGGCTGACTCTGGCCACCTACCCATTTGTTATAACCTTCCTTTGACTTTGCGGGGACTGGGATTCAATCTGTGGGGCAATGCCCAGTCTGGGATGAGGCTCCTTGTGTGCCAATGAACAATTTGCCTTTCTTCTCCCTTCCATCATTTATTTCCCTTCCCAATTCATTCCCTAAGCATCCAAGAACACCCACCAGCAGGCACCTGCCCAGTCAGGGCTGGAGCTGGGAGGTTACAGAGTGCGGCGGGGCCATGGGGCAGGGGACGAGGGGTCTCGGGGTCTCGCCATCTTCCCGGCGCCACGTGCGTGCAAGGGACAGGCGCGGGAGCCAGCCCATGCGGGCGCCGCGGCCTTCATCCGCCCCGTGTAAAACAGCCCTGGCACAGCCCTGTCCTCCAAAGTCTGTGAAACCCTTAAGATGTCTGCGTGTTGTGGCTGGAGAAATGGAGAGGATGAAAGGCACAGGGCTAGCACGCCATGCAGGGATGGACAACCCCGTTACCAGCCCTAATTAGTTACAGCTTCACAGCTGGGCTGCATGAACGACACTGGGCTCTCTTAGCCTGCTGCCCTTGCAAAGGAAAGTATCCCAGGTGGGTTTAAAGGTGGTTGGAGCTGCCACCATTGCCCTGAGTTTGCAGCAAGCTATGAGTGCAATTAATGCAGCTCAGCTAATGAGTTGTAACCGGTTTAGCTGTCATAAATGATTGCAAGCCAGGGGGTAGCCATAGCCTGAAACCACGTCTGTCCCGTGGTACATCTGCAGCGCAAAGCTGTGTTGGAGTGATCTTAAACCGTCGTCGATTTCCTCAAGCCCCCAGGGAGCTGTAAAAAATCATCCCATCAAAAAGCAATTAAGGGAAAACTGCTTGGCTTGGGCAGTGCCGCAGCAACATCGGATGACGACTGGCCCTCGGCTCGGGGGTGGACGCCACTGAGAAACGAGCTGGGAAAACCAACTGCCCTGAAGCACAGATGGCTCTTTCTTCTTGCTCCAAGCACCCCAGGGCCCATCCGGTGTGTGGGGTTTGCCAGGTCACCCGGCCCCGGGGGGTGGAATTCACCTCCTCCCGAACTGAGGGCAGTGCAGTCTGGCAGCACAGACCTTAACACTGATTTCTGTGCAGTCTGCAGGCAGGTGGACACAGTTTTTGGTTGGTGGTTTCTTTTTTTTTTTTTTTTTAGTTTAAATGTTTTTCCAAGAGAGAACGCGTGTCTCAGCACAGTAGGCTGACCCTGGGCAAAAGCAGGGCTGTCTGCACGCCATGTGCAAGCTGACAATTATTGTGTGAAAATTTCCAAAAATACGATGTGCAATGCCTCAGAGGGGCAACTGGAGCAGCTCTTGCTGGCTCCTGCATGGAAAACTCAATACCAGGAGAAGGCGACGGGGCCCCATGCACATGGTGCAAAGTTCACATTTGCACGTGCAGGAGCATTCACGCAGTGGGTTCATGCTAAAGAGCTCCTGCACCCATGAACAGGGGGCACAAAGAGGCTTTGGGTGGTGGCTGCTCTGCCCAAAGCTGTAAGAAAGGGGCATGCAGGCGGTTTGTGGGCATGAAAGCAACTGGTCATGAGAAATAAAACCAGTAAAGCTCATCGTGAGGCCAGTCTAGCCCAAATACCATCCAGGAATTCCCCCTAGTGCTCTCTGTTCGGCTACATTCAATGCCAGACCTGGCTTTGCCCCTTTCTGATCCCTAGCTTCATGTGAGGAAGCTGAGGGTGGAGCAATATCATTTATAGAGAATAAAACAGCACAGCTCTCGAGGTGACTTCAATTTGCTCTTGTCTCTCTCTGTTTCAGAGCAGGGCCCACTGCTCCCAGCCTATAAATCCTGATCCCAGAGGAGGCAATTGTATGTATTTAAATATATATGTGTTTGCCCTGCATTCACTTCCTTTCCCAAGGGACTGGTGACATGAAGAATTGTAATAGCAGAATGTATTTTTAATGCATTTCCTGCAGATTTCTGCAAGGGAATCCAATTCCTGTGTGACTTTCACTTGCCATAAAGCCAGAAGACCTCAGGAGCACTGATAATAGGCAGGGTGGGTTTTTTAATCTACCTTTTTAATGAGCTCCATCCATCCCGCTGATTAGATTAATCTCATTTATTTTAGCCAAGCCATCTAGCTGAAATCCCAACAGAGGAAATTGCGCTTTTGAGTGTTTCAGGGTGAGTGCTTGAGTGTCAGGCAGCAAACTCCACGAGGACATTTCCAATTTGCCCTTTTATCGCCTCGGAAATTTGTAGCCCCGACAATCACATTGGGGAGGGACCGTCCGAGCTGCAAACCTGTCTGCATCACCAATAGTGCAGACAATGTGCCACAGAGAGCCTGTGCATCTCTCCTCTCCCCTATTTTGAGCAACTCCACCAACAGAGCAAAACCAGCCCCACGGGGAGGGCTCAGCTTTCCAAAAAACCTTCCATCTTCTCGGCAGGAGCAGGACAGAGAGAGGTCCGTGGATGGAGCATCCTTGCTGGTGGGACAGCCACGCTTTTGCAAACCCACCGGCACGACCCCGCTGGGGGCAGCAGTGGGTGGGAAGGGCCCGCTTGTTCAAACAGAAATACCTTTGGCAGCAGCTGCAGCTGATAGAATGGGAAATGGATTTTTTGTTTAAAAGATGGTGTTGTTGTTTCAAGCCTGACAAATGTGAAAGTCCCCATTTAAAGGAGTTGAACTGGCAGTGAAATTGGTCACTGTTTGCACACCCACGTGCCAACGGAGGCAGCTGAAAGCAAACTTCTCATGTATCCTGATCCAAATCACCTGGGAGCAAAGCTTAGCAAGCATGGTGCACCAAGCTGTGAGCAGCCACCCAGCCACGGAAGGCTCTCTGCAAAACAGCAAACCCTGTTCCAATGGGAGAGGCAAAGCCCAGTTGGTGTTACAGCCCTCCACTTCCAAAAAATGAGGGAATTTGGAGCCTACAAGCTACAGCTTTGGCTCTGTTAGAAATTCTCTTTCTAGGAGGAAGACAATCAGGGTGGAGGGCAGAAAGTGTTAGCAGGTGTTTTGGGAGGGTGTGGAGGGAAGAGCTGGGGAAGCCAGGAGGTTTCCTCTGCCCCATCAGCCAGGAAAGCTATTTTTGCAGGAGCTCTCTGGGGTACCAGACAAGGTCAGGATTGTTTCTGTGCTGGATGCTGGTGCAAATATGTGGGCAGGTGGCTGAATCCCAAGGAGCTCACAGCTTCCCTGCAGGTAAATGAAGTGTTGTTGTCTGCTTTGTCCAGGTGAGAGGATGTCTTGGTGTCGGGTCTGCTGTAGCCCCTGATTTTGGTTTTGGAGTCCTTTGGAGAGGCAAGTGTCTGCTGCGGTGATGGCTCTGGCGTGGGTGTGCAAGGTGTGTATGTGCCTGTGAAGCACCACATGCTTCACCAATGACTACAGCATCTATTAATTCCCTCCTCCTAAGCTGGTGCGTGACCTTTTCCATGAGACATCCCATATGCGTGAGCTAGCTGTTGCCACCTTGGTCACAGCACACGTGTCTGAGCTATGGGGACTGGCCACTTCCAGCAAACCATCATCTATCCTGCCCAGCCTTCTGTGGCCAGCACCCCATCTCAGGGCATTTCAGACTGATCCCGTCATCTGCATACTTAGGGGATGGGTTGGTGCTGGGTAAACTGAGGCTTGGAGGGGTTTGGCTCGTGGTCACGTAGGCAGTCTGGCCAGAGCCCAGGCGTTGTGGCAGAGAGACGTGCGCGGGGCCGGGGAGATGCTCCTCGTGCTGTCTCACCCCATCGGATGCCCCCAGACCCAGAGTCAGTTTTGGGCTCCACATGCAAAGTGCCTGTTCACTGCCAGTGCCGCTGGCTCTGGGTAAT